AGAGAGAGAGAGAGAGAGAGAGAGAGAGAGAGAGAGAGAGAGAGAATCCCAAGCAGGTTCAGCACAGAGCCTGATGTGGGGCTCAAACTCATGAATCACGAGATCGTGACCTGAGCCGACAACAAGAGTTGGATGCTTAACTGAGACACCCACACACCCTAAGAATGCATTTAAAATATGCATTTAGGTTTAACCGTATAAACTAGCTGTCATCTTTGACAAATAGGAAAGTAGCAAGACGTGAGTACACACCAGATGTGGCAGAAGTTGCGAGACTGAGAACAAAAGGAGCCTGGGATGCACTACACTTTTGTGGCTTGGGTGCCTGGCTGACTAGGGAGGGAAAGATGAGGGGATAGTTTGGGGAGGGCTGTAAATCTTTGAATCAATTGAGCTGGAGATGCCTTTTGGATACCTACAGAGAGATGTTGAGTCAACTATGTCCAATATGGTAGTCACTAGCCACGTGTGACTATTTGAAACCTAAATTAAAAATATGGTTACTCAGTGACACTAGCTGCATTTTGAGTGTTCAACAGGTACATGTGGCTAGTGGCCACCGTTTGGGACAATGCAGATAAAGATCATTTCCATCATCATAAAAAGTGCTACTGGTCACAGTGGGCTGCAGAGACACATTTGCAAGAACTAACAAATACATCACTGTTCAAACCAGAGCGGGGATGAAAGGAGTCAAGAAGACTAGCTGGAAAAATAGGGAGAAGGAATGGAAACTTGTGAAGGGACATGTGAAAGGGCAAGAGAAGGAAGGTGACTCCACAAAAGAAACAAGCATAAACCGACACAGACACTAACACGGGAGACCTTCCAGAAGGACAAAGTAGGGGCGGAGTCAGACACTGCAGACAGATCTGTGCGAGACCCACTGGATTGAACTGTAATTAGGTCACTGGTGAGTGTAGGTCACAGGCACATGCAGCGGCATGAAATATGAATGAAAATTGCAGTAGCATTTGCTAGAGAATAGAACTTTAAGCTGTCTGCTAAACAGCTTGTTCAATACGGGCACTTGAGAGAAATATGTACACAGAGCTATTTTTAGGACATGAATGTACCAGCTATTCATGCTGGGCTCCAGTCAGTCTAAGTGTTATCTCTGGGTCCAGCAGGATGATCAGAGAAAGGTCTACTTCTTCTGTTTTATTGACACAGACAACTGTATTAATGAAAGCCCTGCTTTGGTAATGTGCCCTTTACTTCCACTGAGGAAAAAGTGGAAACAACATTCTATAATTATTTCAGGGTTGTTCTGGAAAGATCTGCACTATCACCTACCTGAAGATCAACAAAGACATTTTTCCTGACTTCAGTAACTTTAGACTCCACGAGGAATGTTTGGTTTAAGATTCTCATCAATGCATATCTGAAACAAATATTGTCTGTCTGACTCTCTGCCATGGCTATTAGGTCAGGAAGAAATCTGCCCCTGTACTTTGAAAAATCTGTAACGTCAGAGGACTGCATCTATCCACATGCCAACTCTGCTGTACTACTCATCTGCTTTGCTGTATCTTCCTTGAATGGTTTTGATCCATTTCTTTTTTTATTATTATTAAAAATTTTTTTGTGTGTCTATTTATTTTTGAGAGAAAGAGAGAAAAAGTGCAAGTGGGGTAGGGGCAGACAGAGAGGGGGGAGACACAGAATCTGAAGCAGGCTCCAGGCTCTGAGCTGTCAGCACAGAGCCTAAACATGGGACTTGAACTCACAAACTGTGAGGGTTTTGATCTATTTCTATTTCTACTTTTCTATGTTAATTAACCACCCATAAAATCCATTATAAAAAAAGGTGCATACATACAACTCACCTGAGTTGTGTCCATTTTCTGCTGTTGTTGGGAGAGTACGGACAACTGTGAAGGATAAGCTGGGAATAAGGAAAGAGGAAAGGAATCATGAGAGGTCTGGTGAGATTCTGCATTCAGTAGCCTAAAAGTCTCATCACACCAGCTGGGGAAAAGCCTCCCTATGGAAAAATGTCCTGTTGACCCTTGAGAAGGGGCAGGAAGCACCACAGAGTGCTTCATTCCCTGAATATGTAGTACATCTCTGATATGATCACATGGATGTAACCTTGCTATTTTTCACTAGGTGACTGTGAATTATTTCCCCATTGATTATTAATATTCTATTAATATTATTTATACTTTGAGCTAGAGAATCAACAGAAAACTCTGGGAAAAAAAGATGCTTAGTGACCAAATATTTTAAAATACTTTTGTTCTTCTGAACAAAGGACTTTTGGTAAGACTTTTGATAAGACACTTGTAGTGACTTACGTGTGACAGAATGAACAGCACTATGCTTTCCTCCTAGCTCTGTCCTGGGTGACCAGGGGACATACATCTGAGGCTCCAGTTTTTTAAAAGTTTCAAAAGAGTCAGAGACAGAAATCTACTCCTATACTGTCATTTTGTAATTCTTTATGTTCAGGATAAAGGAAGCCTCAGCATATCCCTAGATGCCCCTTCTGATGGACACAATGAGAGAGTGGCTCAGAATCTGCAAAGTAAGTGAAGAATGAAGAAAATAGGGGGCTGTTTAGGGACGGAGAATGAATTTCCTTGGCTCTGGCTTGGCTTTTCTTGTACGGCCTGACAATCACCAATCTCTTCCAACCCCAGCTCACCACCTTCTGCAAGCTGGACCAGTTTCCACTGTCATACAGTCTGTGATGGCTTCTGGATGTGGTGACATCACCAAGTCTGGCTCTTTCTGGAAAAGGTAGTAACAAAATGCTTCTGGTGGAACAAATTAGGACCCACTCCTTTCTGGGTTCTTCTGCATTTGTTCTGAAGCTTTGGTGAATATGGTTCCTGTCAGATAAACTTTTCTTCCAGGTGGGACTCCTGTCCCCAGGGCTCTTCTCCTGCTTGCCACACAAGAGCTGAACGTTCCAAAGACGTTCCAAAGAACGTTCCAAAGACGTTGAGATTTAGGCCTAGGAAACAAATTCCTTTTAGTTGAAACTTTCATTGAGAGCAAAATTTCTTAGCTTCAGCACTACTGACATTTTGGGCTGCAGAATTCTTTGTGACGGGGCGTGGGGGGTCCTGTACGTTGTAGGATGCCTAGCAGTATTTCTGGTGTCTACCCACCAGATGTCAGTAGCAATCCTCCTCTGTTGTGACAAACCATATCATCTCCAGCCATTTCCAAAAGTCCTCTGGAGAGCAAAATCGCCCTGGTTGGGCACCACTAGTGTAGGGCCTGATTTTCTTCAAGATCATTATAACTGTTCTATTATTATAGCCACTAGCCACGTCCCACTACTGAGCACTTGAAATGTGGCTAGTGCCACATGTTGAAGAATATTTTGTATATATTGAGATAAACACAGTATGTTCTTAAAATTAATTTCACGTTTTAGTTTTTTTTTTTCAACTTTTTTTTTTTATTTTTTATTTTTGGGACAGAGAGAGACAGAGCATGAACGGGGGAGGGGCAGAGAGAGAGGGAGACACAGAATCGGAAACAGGCTCCAGGCTCCGAGCCATCAGCCCAGAGCCTGACGCAGGGCTCGAACTCCCGGACCGCGAGATCGTGACCTGGCTGAAGCCGGACGCTTAACCGACTGCGCCACCCAGGCGCCCCCTCACGTTTTAGTTTTTAATATGGCTACTAGAACATTTAAAATTATCAATGTGGCTCACCTTATCTACTGGACAGCACTGCACTAGATATCAGACTGTGCCTTCTGAAGACAGAGACAGCCTGGACAGCACAGGAGGTACCAGGAGCCTCAGTCTTATCCAGAGGCTCTGGAGACATGCCAGAAGCCCCAGAATAGATGCACGTGTCAGAAAGTGACATTTATGTCAGAGAGTGACATCATGCTAACTTTACAATCATAGTCACTCTGCTACTGCCGTGAAGCCTACAATGTTGGGTTTTAGGGAGGCAGGGTATTAGGAATAGCTGAATTTAGGAGTAAAGCCTATCTGTATTTGCATCCTGGCTTCATCGCCTTTTTGACCTGTGGTCTGTAATTTCACTCTTCTGAACCCCCATTTTCTTTTTCTTTCTTTCTTTCTTTTCTTTCTTTCTTTATTTCTTTCTGTCTTTCTTTCTTTCTTTCTTTCTTTCTTTCTTTCTTTCTTTCTTTTTAAGGATATGGTTATTCCTATAAATGGGGTGGCTGCAAAAACTAAATACTAAATAAAAAAGAACAAAGTGTCTTTCAAATATGATGGGAGCCAACACTATATTTTGGCGCATTGCCTACTACTTACTAGTGTTACTAACACTTGGATAAATGCATTATAGGTTATGACTTACCTCTTTCTGAACAACGCCACAAAGCAGTTTTTAACTACTATCCTTATTTTCAGATAAGAACCTCACTTATGCCCAAGTGACAAAGGCGGAATTTATCCGGTCTTTCTGGCTTCCAAGTCCAACGCCAGGGCGCGCTTTGTGCCGGGCTCATGGTCAGTATCCAATACGGAAACGCGCATTACCCGCCGGCCTGGATCTTCCCCGCTCCCGCTGCAGTCAGCTCCCGCACCCCAGTCTGCAGGGAACATCTTCCGACAACACTCGCCCCATCTGGGCCCCTGGAGCCCACACCCACCCGTCTTTGCCAGGTCTACGTTCCTGCCGGGGTCGGCACTTGGGGTGAACGGGGAGTTCCCGAGACGTCGTGGTCCCTTCCTCTGGGAACGAACCCGCCCCTCTCCCTCCCGGCGTGCGGAGTAGGCCTCTCTCACCTGAGGGCAAACCCGGCGCATCCGCACGGCCTGGGAGGACGGAAGCCGGTAAATGGGGGTGACTGCACATGCGCAGGGAAAAGCCCAGGATATCCGTTCCTAGAATGCCGCGCGGTCAGCCGGAACATCCAGAACTACATTTCCGTGAAAATACCGCGACCGCTCGCCGGTTTCAAGTACGTTGGGGCAGTCCACGTGGCAGGGAGGCAGACGGTAAAGGGGGCGTTATTAATGAGATGTTATCAACAGTCTGTATTGCTCTCTGGCGCCCAAATTCTACCAAAGTCGCAGAGGTTATGGGTTAAACTTTGACATACCATCAAATACAGTGTGGTCCTGGATCAGATCCTGGTTGGAGAAAACAAAAAGACGTTTGGGAACAACTGGGGAAATTTGTGTATGGATCGGATCTTAAAAATATTAAGGGAAGTCACGTTAGTTTTGTTAATTGTGATAATAACTATTGGGATTATGTAGGAAAATTTAGTTTTTTTAGAGATGCATATTAGAATACTTAGCATTATATTACATATTTGTAATTAAATAACAACCAGAAAAGGCAAATATAGTAACATGTTAAGGATTTCTACGTCTAATATGTGGGTATGATCATTTTACTGTTTTCTCCTTTTCTACGTGCTAGGAAGTTTTGTAATATAAAGTTCATAAAGGGGAAATTTTAAACTATTTTTCCAAAAGTGTGCCTTTTAACTCAGAGCTGCCAAAAGGAAGAAAGGTACATGTGTCAACAAAACTAAAACAGTAACAATTTGATGTCTTTTATTCAAGGGAAAACAAACCATAAAGCACTCTTCGGAGGGATGTTGGTCAAGAGTGAATTTGATTAATAGGGATTTCCTAATAAGGCCAAGTAAGCTAGCTAAAGCTGAGTTGCAAGATTGTGACTGGCATATATTAGGTTTCTTTGACAATGAGAGGAGTACCATTAGATCAGGCTGACTTAGGTTGAGATTTGTGACCTTGGCCCCCGTTTTGTGGGTACCAATATGCAATTAACTTTACCATGTGTAAACAGTTTTTGTGACTAAGACTGTAAAATGTAACATAAAAGAATAATATCTGTGATCCTCAGAGTTTCTTTCTGAGAAAAAAAGAAAAAGTAAGCTGTTCAATCTTTCATAAGTAATATCTGAAAGTACACACAACTCAGTTAGAAAACAATTATCATGCAAATTATGCATCTCCTAGGGATAAACTTGCATTTGCACACTTCTGAAATTAGGAACCAAATTAGGAACCTATGAACACATTTTATGACTGCCTTCGTGTGTGTGTGTGTGTGTGTGTGTTATACGTATATACAAAACATACATATACTTACATATAAACACATACTTTTCTTGGTTATTTTGTAACATTATTATATATGGCAATGATAAAAAGATAGGTTTTTTTTTTTAAGTTTATTTTGAGAGAGAGAGAGAGTGTGTGTGTGTTTTGGGGGTGGGGCGGGGGACAGAGAGAGAAGGAGAGAGAATCCCAAGAAGGCTCAGCACTGTCAGTGAAGAACCTAATGTGGAGCTCGAACCCCGGAGACGAAGTCTGATGCTTGGGGCAACTGAGCCACCCAGGTGCCCCAAAAGATAGTTTTGAAAAAAATTTTTTTAGGGGAGCCTGGGTGGCTCGGTCGGTTAAGCTTCCGACCGGCTCAGGTCATGATCTCACGGTCCATGAGTTCGAGCCCCGCGTCGGGCTCTGTGCTGACAGCTCGGAGCCTGGAGCCTGTTTCGGATTCTGTGTCTCCCTCTCTCTCTGACCCTCCCCTGTTCATGTTCTGCCTCTCTCTGTCTCAAAAATAAATAAACGTTAAAAAAAAAATAAAAAAAAATTTTTTTAAACGTTTATTTATTTTTAAGAGAGCACAAGTGGGGCAGGGACAGAGAGAGAGGGAGACACAGAAGCCAAAGCAGACTCCGGGCTGTCAGCACAGAGGCTGAAGCGGGGCTTGAACCCACAGACCGAGAGATCATGGCCTGAGCCAAAGTCAGACCCTTAACTGACTGAGCCACCACGCATACCAAATAGTTTTGATTAGCAAGAAAAAAGAAGGATTGATGTTGCCAGTAAGTTATTGGAACTGGTGTGAATCCAGGTATAAAACGATTCTGTTGACACTTAAAAAACTTTAATGAATACCAGCTTTCTAGATGAAAAGAATATAATTAATGTTCCCATCAGAATCCTAAAAAAGTTTTCTCTGTGTTCTTTCTCTTTGACATTTATTTTGTTTGTTAAACCTAAAGAAATGATCCCAACTTTTATTCCAATAAAAACTTTTAGTAATGATCAGAAGAGAATTGAAAATGCCTAGCAATGTGTTTGTATTAACATGTATGATATTGCTAAAGTATTTAAAAACTGATCCTGGTGCAATAAAAGTTTAAGTCTAGGTAGAAAAGAAAGTGAGAAGGTAGTATGTGTCAGAGCTGGGATTTAAAGCAGTGGAAAGAGAACATTCAATAATTTTGTTAGAACAAGGTAAGTGCTGGAACATAATAAGGCCATATCCATGGAATTCATATTACAATAAATAACTTTCATAGGGATTCAAATATAAGCAATTAAAGACAATTTCTAAAGTTTTAAAATTTCAATTTCTGAATTTTCCAAGTTCTT